GGGAAAGGTTCCAAACTACTGACTAACACAGGCAAAGCAAGGACATGCTTCCGTTCGAGGGATTCTTTAAATAAACGATTGTTTGACGCATTTAGATAATGTGGGAAGGCGGCCGAGTGCAGAAACAATACTGATTTCAGTTTTTGAAAAATTCGAGAGTTAGAGGTAGTTCTGTCTCGACACTAAAAAAGTGATCGTCGGTAGAGCGGTCAGCCCATTAATAATTTTGTAAGTAATCAAAGATCGACAAAAATGCGGCGAAATTCCAGCGTGTCATGATTCAGGTACTGGAGACTTTTAACAGAGAAAGTAGAAGGCTGTTGGCATGCTTGGAAACAGCTGATGTATTTTTTTGAACTCAGGGCGCCTTTCTTAACACGGGGCTACTATACTTCATGCAAGGGCCTAACATATGATGTAAGTGGTTGGAAATTTGATGCCATTCGATCTGACTTCAAGGACAGCCTGACAATCGGCTTTCTTGAGAATAACGGAGGAGCAGTAACTGAATCAGAGGCTTTTGTCAGAAAAAGATGGTTAAATCTTGGCGATTTTCAGAGGATAGTCAAGGGATTGTTGTTGCCAACATATTAAACACTGTACTTTTGAGCTGAAAGCTTAATTCCTGAATCGTAGAACCGGTTTTGAGTTTAACGCTTTTAGAATACGGGTTCTTGGACTCTGTTTTTAAGCATTCTACATATAATCACGGGTTTCGGCAAATTGATATAATTTTTGTGTTTCAGGATAAAGACTCAAAGTATCGGTTGATTTTGGTTGAATCACGAATTCATCGATTGGCGCGTTATTACAAAATCAAGCGTCAGTTGCCGGCAACGTGGAAGTACGAGTCATCCACTGCATCTGCGCTTGTCTCCTAAACTGACAAATTTTGTTTGTCTTTGTTGTCTGTGTGGAATGAATATGTTACCAATAAATGTTGCCCCATTATGCTAGGCATTTACTGTCATAAGCGACTTATTTCGGCAGGTACTGCGATTATTTATAATGAGATTTGTCAGCAACTTTTGAGA